CTTCTTTTTAGCTAGCCTCTTCCTCTGAATGCTGTCCTGTACTTCCTCATTCCACCACCACGTTTCCTTATTTTCTTTCCTCCTGGTCCACATTTTATGAGCCTCTCAAAACCTTAAGACTCTTTAAAGTACTGTTTCAGATTTGTGTAATCTATTATATTAAAAAGTTTGTGAATGACTCTGTCATATTGTCTCTTTGGGACAAAGAGGACTATGCTCATGAACATGAAGTGACCGATTTTACAGAGTGCTGCAAATCATCTGGAAATAAATGTAGCCCAAACTAAGGAGAGGACTGATTTCCAGAGAAATCAGGTAAACATCTGTTCAGTGACCATAGATGGCTGTTCAACTAGTCCAACAGTATAAACATCTGTGTACACTCACTGACAACAGATTGACTTTCGAAGCACACCTGGATGCAGTACGTAGGAAAGACCATCAGCATAAGTCGTAGTTTTAATGTTGATAATACTTTTATAAAAATGGTTCATTCTCGTTTCATTGTTAAAACGTACAGTAAGACTACGAATGCCTCGTACGCTTAGCAAGGCCGGGTTATTTCTGGCTGATCCCGGTTTTTAACGGGTGAGTGACGCCCCCGAATGGGCGGCGATTTGGACAAAAGGGTCCGTGGTGCCGGAGACTACAGACCTTTTAGTCTGCACGAGTGTCTTATTGTCTTGTTTGTTTAGGTTTTATGTGATTGTACTAGTGGTTGCGATTTGTACTGCTTTCTGCTAACAAACTGCTCTTAGGGGATAATAAAATTATCTTCGAACCTATATTTGTGAAAACAAGAGAAAGTAAACAGATTTAAACCCGGTGCATTTAAGGGGGAATCGGACGCTCGGTGTCCCACATTTACCCACTGACTCGGAGTAGTATAACCTGTGTCTTTAATAACTGAACAAACCTTTAGGAAACATCAGCTGTGATGCATCTTCTTCAACATCACCGACATGTGGAGGAGCCGCGCCGCCTCCGGCCGCCATCACGACGGTACTGGCAAACACGGGGAACGGTTAACAAACAGCAGCCAGTCCGAAGGCTAAGCCCCGACTTCCAGAAGTCCCCGGTAGCTTGGGGATGGACTCTACACACCAGTAGCACTTTAACTTTCAGAATAACAACACAGAAAGCACACCGTTTTCCGTTCGGCGCCTTCTGGTCACGCAAAAAACACAACAAATATTTCCGGGTTTAAAAGAAACACTTCCTGTCTGTGGTTTGCCTTCTTTCAAAATAAGAGCTGCGGCCGCCTGGTGGATAATCAATGTCAGTGTAACGAGTCTAACAGAAGCTTACATGCTTGTTAGAGCAGAAATGAACTGTGAATAAATGTAGCAAAGTACTAAAGTATCCTATTGTGCTCTACTGTACTGTGTATGACACTGAGGTACTTGTACTTTAATAAGTGTATTTAACTTTTATGCTACTTTTTAGATTTATTCCACATTTCAGTGGCACTTGTACTCTTTACTGCACTGCATTTTATTTAACACTTCAATTTCAGATAAGACATAATTTATAATAGTTTTATAAGCTGTAACTAATGGATTTATTAATGGTTAAAATCCAAAGCTAACAAAGGCACTGAGAAATGTCACTTTCTTTAGGTCAAATGATCACAAATACTGTATTTCAGCTCTGCCTACGTCAGTGTGCAGCAGTCCTTCACTTTCACCAAGGCTGAGTGATAGTCATCTTATTGCCCACATGTGTACCAATGGTTATGAGTAATCAGAGGCATCCTCAGATATACCTCTGTGGAAACCGCATATGGCTCTGTTCAACATTCAGTTCCCCAAGTTTAACAACCAAAAACTACACACATTCAATATACACACATTGTACAAAATAATTACACGTCACACCAAGTGAAATAATAGTAGTAGCTTGCAGCTGCAAAGGAGCAGACGTTTACTGCTCCTGTCT